TAAAAGCAATATAAAAACAAGGGATTACGATTATGTATGTTAATAAAACTCAAAGATACCCGCCCCTTCCATGAGGTTAAATGGCCAACTGATGGTTTGAAGGTTCATGGTGGGGTGGGGAATAGGTATTCTGGGAGGTGGAAGAGAGATTTAAAAAAAGAGATGGAAGGCTGCGAAAGAAAATAGTTGACAATTTGGAAGGAGGTAAGGTAAATACCACATTTTCCTTTAAGGAATGAATGTAATTGCTTGCATTTTCTCTCTATTTCCTTCTTCTGTTTCATTGATTATTCCTAAGGCTAAAGTTTCTGCATTACATTCTAATTCATCTGACATAGCGTGTTTTTAAAAACTTAGTGTTGCTTACTTTGATTTTCCTGTAGTCTTTTGCTGATGGAGCTTCTGTGAAGGGCAAATTCTAAGTACAGTTGGCTGCCACAGCACAGAAGTAGGAAAGGGATGGTTCTGGTTGGGGTCACCCTTGGAGAAACAGTGCCAGTCACAGACACTTGCTGGCCTAAGGCAGAGGCGGCAGTAGTTAGACCAGACCAAATGAAACCAAACCAAGCAAAACCAAACAAACAAAAATGGGGGAGGGAGGGGAGTTAGATGGGGGAGGAGGGGACAGAAAGAGACAGAAGAGAGGAAGAGAGCAGGGGAGTGGAAGTGGGTGAAGAGGAAGGGAAGGACACCAAAGAAAATGATGGAGAACATCATTCAAGTATGGAACATGTATTAACTCATTTAAGCCTCATGACAACCTTATGAGGTAAGCACCTATTTTTATTACCCCTACTTGATAAATGAGGCAATTGAGGCACAGAGACGTTGAGCAACTCCTCCCAATGTCACACAACTCCTAGGTGAATAGAAGTGGGACTTGAACTCAGCCATCCTGGCTCTGGATGGAGTTTGTGATCTTAACCATTACACTAGCAGTTTTGAAACTTCCTGGTCTTGTGACCCCCCTCCTCCACTTTTTTTTAAAAATTATTAAGGATGGGTTTTGTTCAGGTGGGCTATATCTATTGGTATTTACCACATTAGAAATTAAAACATTTAATTCATTTTAAAATAATAATAAACCCGTAATATGTGAATGTAACATTTTAAAGTGAAAATAGCTACATTTCTTAAAAGAAACATAGGGAGAAGAGTGACATTGTTTTACAGTTTTGCAAATTTCTGCACTATGCCATACCTCTTTTGGTGTGACAGTGGTTAAGCAGAGGACAGGAAGTGAGAGACTGAGGGTATAAATGATGGAAACTCAAGGCCTGTCTCTGAAGGCACCAATGTGGTCTGAATGAAGAAGAAATGAAAACTAAAGAATTGTCTCTGAATAGTATAGAGCAGCATCTGGATTTTCATCCCCACTTTAATCCTCAATAGGTTGTTTGGATTCTTTCTTTCTATCATCTATCTGTCTATCTATCTATCTATCTATCTATCTATCTATCTATCTATCTATCAGCTATCTACCTATCCACTTGTATACATATATGTTTATACACACAGCTATATATATGGGTCAGTTAAAAAACTTTGAGTTTAGGATAGATTCTGAATTAGAAGGGATTTTTGAGATTCTCTAACTAATCTTATTTTATGGAGGAAGTAGCTGATGCTGGGCAGGAAAACGGCTCATTGGTAGCTGAACTGCTGGTTAGTGGATGAACTGCTGGTAGAACCCAGGTCTCCTGTCTCCTCATTCCACTTCACAATGTCATATCATAGGAATTAATACATCTAATTATGCAGCCATTAGATAAATCTATTTCCATCAGAAAGTTTGTGAATTGACAACCATACAACCTGTGATAAATTCACACGCTTCATCAATGCCATTATGAAAAATTGCCCTTCATGTCCAAAAATTGCCTCTCCCTGAATGTCTTGGTCTCTTTGATATTTTGTTAGGACTCATTACAACTTCTTGCTTATTGCCTTTTGTTTCACAAGTGGTGCCGAAGAGAATATGGGATTGAAATTGGGAAGAGGATAAGAATATGAGAACCAGCAGCTCTGAGACATCTGAGAACACTGATTGGCTTGTTGCTGTTATCGGCAGGATCTGCTTTTCTTAAGGATGAGCATATTTTGGTCCACAGGTTTCCAAGACAAGCACATTCCTGCCAACAGGATCCCTGGACAAGCTGTTCTGGAATTTGAACTTGCTACTGTAAAGGGGTTAAGTCCAGGACACACACACTCATTTCGGTGGGGGGTGAGCCATAGTTGGCTATGTTAGCACCTCATTATACAACAGTTCCAGGATAAAGTGATTCCAGATGTGCTCTCAGCAAGTACCTAGTACTTATGTGTTTAACCCATTAGGCTAAAATCCACTTTCTGAATTTTGGAGAAGCCAGAAGTTAGTGAACTAAGTAGTTATTCCTAGTTACTTTATAAAGCTGATTCTAAATTGGCTGTAATTTGAAGTATGCTTCAAGTTAGCGGATTATAACTGTACAAAACATATATATTTACACATATATACTACATGTATTCACACGTACATATATCTTTCACAATGATTAGAAGTTCATTTTGGGTGCTGGTTTAATGATTATCAAGTTTCTTTGTCTTGGAAATGTCATTTAGAAAAGTTGAGAGAGCATGTATCTGAGGCGTATTCTAGTTTCCTTCTGGTTGGTGGCTTGATGTGTGCATAATCAAGCTGCTTGTGGTTCTGAAGAGTAAACGTCGTGATAGGGAAGTCCTGGTTAAAGACCCTCCACCCCCCTTGAAAATGCTGTTTGAAAAATTTCACTTACGAGCTTTGGATCCTGACTTTACAAAGAAGAGTTGAAGAGGAAAGGAGTTGAATGCCTTTTCTGCCAAGTCAGATTATTATTAAGAGTATGGGAATTTTGCATCACTTGGCCTTGGAAGGTGGGGAGCTGAGGTGAATGTTTCATTTTTCTTTAAAATATTTCAGATTTGTCTGCAAAAATTATGTTTTCTGTTGAATACAAGGGAAAGCTTTTTAACTGATCTTTGCTACTTTAGTTGAGAACACTGCATCCTCATATGTTCCTTTGATATGATATTAAAATACTTTTAAAAATGTAGGTATTATGTCTGGTCTCAAGGACCACAGCAGTTATTTGCCAAAGGCTTTAACCTAGGGCATTATTCAGCAGGCAGGAATATTAGAAAACATATTCTTCAGGGGTACCTGTTTTGCTGCAACTAGAGTGGCAGCTACAGCAAAGCAATCTAGATGAGAGCGTGGATTCTAGACCCTGACTTTCTAGTCTGATTCCTGGCTCTGCTTTTTACTAGCTGTGTGCTTCGGTTTTCACAGATGTAAAGGATGAATAATAACTGGTAAAGATTTAATCAGTCTGTACCTGTAAGGAAAGCACTTAGAACCATCCCTACCACATATTAAGCACTATGCAAGTATTAGCTTCAACAAATAAAACAATCTCAAATTTTGTCTTTGCCTGTCTTTGGCAGCTTAAAGCAGCATATCACTAGTTAAAGTTAAAAGAAAATGATCCTTGGGATTAATCCTTTCTTGTGAAACATCTAGGTGCGTCCATCCAACTGGGGCTAAAGTTGGAGGATAAGAAGCTGAGGAAAGTTTAGATATCAAGCAGAGTGTGAATGCCACTGCTTAATGCCTCAGACTGAGGCCTAGCTAGATAACGATTTGTTTATATTATTTCCATCTGGAGATAAAGACCTGTGGTGTTACCCATCAACTGGAGATGGACTATAGTTTGTGTGTGGATTGTCAAGCAGTTGTATTTTAATCATGTGACGGGCTTACTCTGGAGGAAATGGAAAAGTTGTGATGTCCCCCTAGTCATTTAGGGAGTCAGTACTGAGTCAGCCAGGTAGGGCCCCCTAGCCTGTATGCCAATTTTGTGACAATTAGCCTTGTGCTATTGCAGATCTTCAGACTCACAGGGCCTTTCACTTGGAGAAGGCTCCTCCCTTGTTTTTCATTCAATATTTCTTTTCAGAATTATCCACAGTTAAATTCCTTATTGGACATGCAATAGATTAAAATCACATTCAAGTTTGGAGTTCATCCAAACATAGCAGACAGCCTTGATTCTTTGACATTACCCCATTAGATTCTTCTGTTATAGTCAGTGGTCCTGAACTTTGGAAGATGTGGATCAGGTAATAGCTCTACTATCCCCCACAAAGAGCGTGCCATCTGTGAAAAGGAATTTCAAAGTTTTATCGTTTCAAATCTATTTACTCTCTTTCTCAGGGAAACAATAATTTCTATTGTTCTATTCTTATCCTTCCTCATTTACTAACCTTTTCATTTTCATTCCATATCCTGTCTTGAGTCTTTTCCATTCTGAAATGCATAGGAACTTTGCTCATTCATGGTATAAACACAGTCCTAGAAACAGTTATTCTGATTATCAAACTTCTAATAATAAGCAACATGTACTCAATACATTTACAGTTTCTAAAGTACTTTTCAAATGCCTTGTCACATTTAATCAACCCTGAGCTTTTGAGATGGCTGTGAATAATTTTCTCCATTTTTATAAACTAGAAAACTAAAGCTCAGAGATCCACATACTGTGCTACCCAAAAGATATCGGGAGGCTTTTCACCTTTTATTGGTTAAAAAAAGAAATTTATCCACATATTTTCCATGTTATTAATTTAATAACATCTTTTGCTTTCTTATGTGTAGCATAGCTCATGTGCTGGGAAATATCTATATTGGTAGCTAGCCTGTGAATTTGTCTCAGCGTGTTTAGAGAATATTTTGGGATAATTTAAAATTCTTAGGGTTTTCAACTCAGACTAGACAAAAAAACAATAAACAACCCTTGGACACACACAAAAAACTATAGTAGTTATTGTATCTATAGCATTTCAAAGTAATCAGAGAACTTTGAATTTCTGTTTTGTTTTGCTTATCATATGCCCCAGATAATTTGACATTTTCACTTTTTCTGACTTTTTTTCAGGGTGTGTTGACACTCAAGTTAATTTCAAACTACTTTTAAGACTATCCAGTGCCTAGCTTATCAGAGACATTCAATACATTTCAAATAAATGATTGAATTATTCACCACATGGACAGAAGGCAATCTGTAAGTAAGTATATCTAAATGCAAATAGTCACATTATGTTTATTGTTTTAAACTAGAAGGTTTTTGACATAGTCTGAAGTGGTATAGGAAAAGGAGTAAGGACTTTGGAATCTGAAAAGATCAGGGTTTGAAGCTTCACCCTTAGGGGTTCATCACTACTAGTTACTACACCTTCCTTAAGCAATAACTTCTCTGATCTTCCGCCTCCTCATCTGCAAGTTTGGGATTAGATTAGCTACTTTGCAAGATTACTGGACAGATAATCTGAAATAATGTATACAAAGTACCCAGCACTCTGTTCCATGTATAAAAATGTGCTCAAAGTTAACGCCTGGCATTTTAAGAAAACACGTAGCTATTGTGGTTCTAAATGATTGTAATTAAAAAAATATTGCTGAGTGCCCATTGTGTAGTAAATTTGTGAGAGAAGTATGAAGATACATACAATATTATCCTAGCTCTGCAAGATTCCTACATTTGCTTTGAGGCAGTGACAAGCCTGAAGTTTCTGAAGATGTGCAAAAACTAATTTAAATAGAATCCTAGCAGTATTGTTAATCTTGAGGGCTCTGAGGGCAGGCAGCTTGGAGGTGCTAGGGGAGCAGTGTAGATGAGGTGGGACATTTTTCAATCTCACCTTGCACCCTGGCCAGTGAGCCAGTGATGGGGCTTCCTTCTGTGTCTTTAGGAACTGCGGAAGATGCTGCTGGCTACTGACACTGATCAGGAGGGCGAAGAATTATTAGCTACTGATTGCTAATGGTAGAATATTATACAAAGCAGAGTGAGATGGCCAAGTCTCTTACTGAGGAAAGACCCAGTCTTTCAATATTCATAATCAACCAAAGTCATATAGCAATCCTTTTTTGATATGATTTTGGGATATGGCATTTTTAGAATTTGTATACATAACTTAGCAGTCAAGCTCACAAGGATCAGATTGTATATTATCTGATTAACCTTTTTTTGTGTGTAAAAATCAGCTTCAAAGTCTACAGCCTAAAATACTCGTAATGACAATTCAAGAAACTATTCTGAATTTTAAATAAAAGAGCAAAGGGCCAAAAATAGTTAAGATAATTTTTGAAGAAGAACAATAGGCAGATTTTTACTTTAATAGACATCAAGACTTATTATGAAGCTGTCATAATCAACGCAGGATCGTAATGGCAAAGGCTTGGGTATATATGCAGATGGGACAGAATGCAAAGTTAGAAACAGATGTACACATATATTAAAACTTGATATATATGAGCGGCCATATACGGGAAAAGTTTGATGATCTAGTAATGGATTCTGGTGCAACAGGAAAAAGAGTAAAATTAGATCCCTATATCATACCATACACAAAAACCAATTATAGATTGATGTGAAAAGCACAGGTTTTAAACATCTAAAACAAAATATTTTATGTCCTTGGGATAGGTAAGGATTTCTTAAACAATGTACAAAAAACATAAAGAAAACCATGGATAAATAAGCTTGATCATGTTAAAATAAGAGACTTCTGTAATTCGACACTTAAATAAGTGAAAAACAAATGAAAGATTTGAACATATAAAGAAATTAATGCACAGAATATATAAAGAATCCCTATAAATTGATAAGAAAAAGACAACCCAGTAGAAAAATGGGTAAAAGGTGTGAATGAACAGTGAACAGAAAAAACCCACATGGCCAGTATTCATGAGAACATAGTGATCAGAGCAATGCAAAATTAAAACCATCAGAAGATACGATTTTACATCCACCAGAGACCAAGTGTCGGTGAGGATGTAGAACAAAGAGGAGTCTTTTGTATTGCTCATAGGAGAATTTCATTGGCACTACCACTTTGGAAAACAGTTTCACTAGATCTAGTACAGTTGAAGATGACCCTACCATGCTAGCTGCACCTCCCAAACCATCCTACAGATCTGTCAACTCCAGTGTAGTTTGGGGATCTCAGAAGATTAACCTCTACACTTCTGAGATTCTACCATGAATTAAAATAATGATTTTCATTAACCGTGCATTGACTACATTTGTAAATGTATTTCTTACATAATTCACAATGGTATAAATACTAAGCTCTAACTGCATATTTAAAATGAATCTAATATATACAATGAGATGTACCAGTACATTATGATAGCATGAAATATTAGTGATTACTGGATCCTTACAATTCTATTGGCAAAAAAAAACGGTGAGACCTGATGCCCTGAAAAGATAAAATGTCTTTTTCAGGCATGTGAATAATAAAAAAAAAATATCCTACTGGTTTATGAAGAAATGGGTGTTCTTTTAAAATAGTAAATATTCATATGCACTAAGCCAACCTTTTCATAACTATATTCGTAAGATCATAGAAAACATGGCAGCTCTTCCCATAGCTGGAAGAATGTGTGGTTACCCTGGCAACAACATCTTAGTTCCTGCTTCCAAGTACCACCTGGCGATTTCAAGACTAACAGCTGTGCAGCCTCTACATTTCCATTGAGGAAATAAAATGAATCCATGCATCATCTCATGGAGCATTTAAGAAGAAGCGAGCTTGCAAATTTGAGTAAGGAGGGAGAGAAGTAGCATTATGTACTAGCAGAACCAGTTAGGATTAAGTCCTAACCGCACTCTTGGAAAGACTTCCTCAAGCCTTCCTCAAGGACCATCAGATCTTGAGGCAGATTTTTCATCAGAACTCTAATATTCAGATGGGTCCAGTAGTCCAAGAAAATTTTCTTATCCCTTACTAAAAATGTGTACTTTTAAGTGGAATCGGCACCCTCTATCCTAACAGGCATTTAAGCAAAATGGTTGTATACCCATCACTGTGAGAGGTAGAGGAATATGTAAAAAACAGTGCTCTAGTTTCAAGCGTGTTTCTCAGTGCTCCTAATTTTACCCAAACTATAGGGACCTCCCTGAGATCTAGTCACACTTAAAGAGCCAAATCCTCTGGGAATTTCCAATACAATGAGTTTTATAGGAACTTCTGAATTGAGTGCCAGTGGAAAAGAATAGCATTGCTAGGCTGTAGGAGCACATATCCTGTCATCTCAAAAAAAAAAAAAAAGAACTAAAAAACTGTGAACAAACAATTTAAGGTATATATTTACTTTTTTCCTTTCCCGTTTTTCCCTGATTATTATGATTCTACACATATGTTATAGAAAATTTAGAAAAAATGTTCATAGAAGCAAGAAAGAAATCACTGAAGGTCCTAACATTGTTAATGTTGTTGAAAGTTTCTTTTATCTTGCTTATGCATTTTTTCAGCTTTGTACTGTATTTTAGAAGAGTTACTCAAGTTATCCATCCATACAATTGGTTTTCTGCGGTATGAAGTATGATCATTATTGCTTCAAAGGAATACATTAATTCTGATATGGCATTTTGAGTTTCTTTGCATTTTTTTCTTATTCCAGTGGTTTTATACTTTTTTCTTTTATCTTTATTCATTTTTGAGTTTTCTTCCTCTTATTTCATAGAGATCATGTTTTCATACAACTCTGTTTAGGATACCAAACAGGACATCAAAATTTTCTTTGGTGCTGTAGAATCTTTCCAAAGGCATCAGGTTGCTTTTATCCTGCCTCACCCTTGGACATGGAGAGATCTAGCTATCCAGCCCAATATGAATAGGGTGCACAGAAGGTCCCTAGCACTGTCACTTGTAGTATTCTGGCAATTTCCCTTTTCTGAACTAAACACTGAAGACTGGTTATGTGCACAGCCTCTGTCCAATTTCCAGGACTTAGAATTCCTTCATTCAATCACACCATAAATACCCAAGTCCCTACTATCTGCAGACACTGTCATAGGTGCTGGAGATAGGACAGTGAACAAAACCAGTTTGTAGACAATAAGTAAAGCTGTAATTGTACAATATAGAGGATAATATTAAGCTTCTGGTAAGGGAGATGGAGGTTAGGGAGGCAGTTGTCTTACCTTGGGTGCCAGGGAAAGGCCTGCAGAGTGTAAGGCAATATTTGAGCTGATAGAACTGAGGGAATTTCTCTGGGTGTGTCAGGCGTTGCTGACAGGGTCCGTGAGAGGAGGGCTGAGATCTGACTGTTGGGTAGAGCAACGTGGAGGTCAGGTCATTGGTGACTTTGACAGGAATGGTTTCCATGAAGTCAGGAAGGTGAAAGCTGTTTGGCAAGGATTCCAGAAAGAATGACAGGAGGCAGACGATAGGCCACTCTTTAGAGGAGCTTTACTCTTAAAAGGAAGAGAAATGGGGTGGGAGCTGGAGGAGGATACAGGACCAAGACAATTTAAACATTTTTGTAAATGGGAGAAATTATTACACCGCCCTTGTTGGCTGGGTATGATCCAGTAGAGAATAACAGTAATGCGAGAGCAAGTGGACGATTGCTGGAGCAATGTCTTGGCGTAGGTGAGAGAGGATGAACTCCAGGGCACGAGTGGCGGGAGCGTTCATGCTCAGTCATGGCTACAGGAGGGAGGCTGGGGTGTGGGCACGCAGGGAACCTACGTGGGTGGGGCCCTAGACATCCAGTCATTGTGACTCAGCTGGACTCGCACCAGCAGTTAGCATATAGGACAGACTAAGGTGCCATCTGCTGTTCTTTGTACCACGTGCACCAGTGCACTCCATTGAAAGGCCAACCCCCTGCCCCTCCCCACACAGGCACGCGTGTACAGGCACTGTTCCCAGGCCTGCTCTTGTCCTCATCATTTGGTGTTGGTAAAGCAAGTACTAATTTATGCCCATTTTGCAATTTCAGAAGCCTTGGGCTCAGACTGGTTTAGCCACTAAACCATAAGGTCACACACTGATAAATGACAGAGCAGGGAATTGGACCTAGACATTTTGACTGTCTCTGCATTCTCCCGCAGTGTTATCAGTTGGACTGAAGAAACAGGAAAGGGATATTTTACTTCCAAAGACTTTAAGATTTGATGTCCTTCTCCTGCTCTCCAGGTGTGTGTGGGATACAGATGGCCTTGTTACCGCACTCACTGAATAGAGGCTGAAAGCACCCAGGAGCCTACCTC